AAATCATCAGGAAATGATAAAATGTCCGAACGCGCTCTAATCACTCTCTCCCGGCGGAGAATTTGGGCTTCAACATCTACTGGCTCTTCAAGGAAGGAGCACGCCATGTCCGACACTTCCTACAGTCAGGTTTCCGACAAAGAGCCGGAGAAGGTCAGGGTTAGTTGAAGTAAACCTGCTAGGGAGCAGGTTAGCTTCACGGAGTGTGTCGTCATAGTGACTCACTCAGAATTAATCTGAACTCGCTTTGTGAAACCGAAAACCCAGAGTTTCCGTTAACTCAGGGTGTACTTACTCAGAGTTTGCACTAAACCGGCTTCCTGAAATAGGGCCCTGGTTTCCTCTGAGATAAAACGTCTGTTTTTGTAAATGTGATAGGGTTTAACGCTTGTTCTGTAAGCCCCTCCCATCACGGTCATGTGACGTGCTGTTTCCTGTCTCTTCAGCTGCCGTACCACGAGCTGGAGAAGCTGAATGGCATCGAGGAGGTGAAGCAGTACCTGCACAAGAAGCTGCTGGACGTCACGCTATGACGCCCTGACAGAGCGTGCGTCCTGTCTGATGTCAGAGGTCGTGGTTACCTGGTGACGTCCCGTTGGAGCTGCACAAGGAGTTCCAACCAAACTGTTCATTTTTCATAGCGTTTAAGAACTGATTCCTTATCAATAAACAGGTCAGTTAATCAATACAAACACCATCAGATCGATTATTGATCAGCTGACAGGATGCTGCTGTTTTCTGGGCAGTCTCTAACACAGGCGCGTCTCACCTGGGGGGGCATCTGTGATCATGTGACTATCAGCACTGAGGACAATGGGACTGTTGTTCTGAGACCTCATTGGTCGCCCTGCGGATGATCTCACTCGTTTTTTTTCCTGGATGGGGAGGGCAGTCCCTTTTATAAGGTGTGGCAACTATGGCAACAGCGATGCATGTGTGGGACTGTTTTATAAATGGGGGGTGGGGGTCACAGAGCAGGGGATGATGGGAACTGTAGTGTGCCAAAGGTCTGAAGGACAGTGCTTAGTGTTTGGGTCAAAGGTCAGATTATTTATTTGTGTGTGAGGTGATGGACAGATGTTTGTTTATATTCTATAAATCTATTAAAGCTGAGATGAACGCAAACTGTGTCCTCACTGACTGACGGGGTCAAAGGTCATCATGTGGTCACATGACAAAACGACACCAGAGATGAGAAAAAGTGCATTTATTAATTAATTTGAGGTGGGCGGCTGAACCCTGAACTGCTGCTCATTGCGCCCCCACCTGCCAAACTGTACAAACCCCGCCCCCTGCCCTGCCTTCACCATTTTGTGAAAAGGACACTTGAGAGCCCACCTGAGCTTTGCTCCGCCCATCTGCTAAAAACCAACACACTCGATAAAAAAAACAAACACGAGTAACAAAAGGCTCCGCCCTCTTCAGAGGAAGGTGGGAGGGGCCGGTGCCGCATAACATCCTCTCATTGGTCTGCCAGGATGATTGGTCTGTGAGGAGGTGTGGCCTGCACAGCCTGTCCTCTCCAATGAGGAGGAAAGGGTGGAGCTAGTCTGTGTCTGAGTCACTGGATTCCTCAGAGGAGCTCTGGTCTTCATCGTCCTCGTCTTCCTCATCGTCGTTCTGAGAAAGAACAGGAAGTGGTCACAAAACAGGAAGTTCTATATCCTGCAACACATGAAGGGACGGACGGATGAAAAGGGCCCCGCCCACAAGGTCATTTATCAATATTTATATAAAAATGTACTTTCAAATAAAACAGGATATTGTCTCTGCTGGACTGGTGATGAACACCGTGGTCAGTCGGCCTTCACTCGTGTCTCCATGAACACGTGACTGACCTCATCGTCATCGCTGTCTGTGCTTCCTGACGTCTCGTCGTCTTCGTCAGAGTCCGATGACTCGCTCTTCTCCTCTTCCTCATCCGAGTCAGACATGTCCTGCTGGGATATGGACAGACCCTGTTCACCACCACAAACGCCACGTGAAATTTAGCCCGGCCCCCAGCCTTTCTGACTAAGTAGCTGTCGTTACCTTGGCTCGGTACGCCATCGCCCTCTTGCTCACCGCCACTCCGGGTGTCGCAGCTCTTGAGCTTCCCGCCTTCCCCTTCGCAGTCACGCGGACTTTAGCTGCGGGGCTGCTGCGAACTTTGGCGGTGCTGCGACGTTTCTAAACAAACAAACAAAGGTTAGCGCTGTAACGCACGGACAGGTGAGGCGGCGTGAGAGACTCACCGAAGACGAGATCTCCTTGTAGACGGCGCGGTCCTGAGGAGACAGAGACTGAGAAGGGAAACGGCATGTTAACGACCAGCAGGGGGCGACAAACCTTTTACTAATATTTCATTCATTTGTCAGCAGAGGCGGAGTCATCGTGCCTCACCTTGACCCAGGCCTCCAGCTCTGCCTTGTACTCCACCTGCTGCTCCTCTACCAGCTTCTTGTACTTGTCCTTCTGGCTCTGGCTCAGCTTCTGCCAGCGTTTCCCGATCTCCACCATCCGCTCCTTCAGGCTGAAGTGGTTCAGCTCGCCATTGGTCAGCAGCTCCTGGGAGAACATCTGGTAGCCGCTCCTATTGGACAGAGACAGCAGTGCACAGAGCGAGGCGACCGTGACAACGCGGCTGACCGCCAATGTTTCAATAAAGGTTTTTGAATCGGGGGCACAGACTCACACTGGAGGCTTCTTCGGCTCGCCGTCAAACTTGGGCTTCCGCTGACCCCCCGCTGGAGTCCTCATCTCCAACAGCTCCCTCTGCAGGACACCCACAGTCAGTACTAGAGATGGACCGATCCGATATTACGTATCGGTATCGGTCAGATACTGACGTAAATTACTGGATCGGATATCGGAGAAAAATAAAAAATGTAATCGACCCATTAAATATCACAAAAGCACCTCATAAAACTTGCGACATGGCGTAACTCGGCTCATAACTGTAGCACGTCAGAGCAGTGTGCTCAGTGATAGAGCGGCTGTGTGTATTTGTAGCCTCGCTACCAAACCAGCATTTCATCTCTGAGGAAGTGATCCCAGAGAGAAGTAAAGCAATTGTGTAAGTTCATCTCTGAATGTAAAGCATTCCAGCGTTACGTTTAACAAGCGATATATGGAGCGACTGCCTCTTCTTGCTGCTACTTGAATCATGAAACTGATCAATGATCAGCTGATCGTCTCTCTTGTTTGTTTTTGGCCCACTTTGCACCAGAAAGAGGAAACCAGCGGCTGAACAACAGCAGCACGTTTAAGCTTGATCAGCTGTTGTTAGAATTTATTTAATATTACTTTCTACACCAGGATCTTTTTCTACAGCTGACGCTGGTAACTGTGCAGGGGCGGATCTAGCAAAGTTTAGCCAGGGGGGCCGATAGGGCATGAACAGGGAAAAGGGGGCACAAAGACATACTTTTCTTTCTTATTCTCATTTAAAATGTCGAGCTTTTAATAAATAATTATCTGACGCCCAAAGTTTTAATTTGATGTAAAATGTAATGAAGTCCATTACTGTATATAGTGACTATTAAGTCTAATATACCCTAGTAAGCTATAGTACGTTTTCCTTTGGGAACCATCTGTGCAGTCTGCAGCTCTGTAGAAGAAAGATGTTGAATCTATTTAATATTTCTTGAAAAATAATTGATTTCTGTGCATTGTTTTTCACACTGCATCAAATTAAAGTTGATTACGTCGATTAAGCATCATGAGGTGGGGGGTGGTTCCCTTTTTTTTTTTTTTCTGGGAGTTTGCACTGTTGCTGCAGTTGCTTACTCTTTAAAGCACCAGAGTAGGGGGGATGCTGCAGGTTTAAGTTTATTAGATTGATCAGTTTTGCTGAACTATGAAATGTTTTGGCTGCAGTGCATTTTTTGCATACTAGTGTAACAGAATAGCTTCAGTGTTGTTTAGTTTGTTTGTTTTTAACTTGAGTATGAACTGATACAAAATGCAGCAAGATATTAAAAAACACTATATCGGATTCATATCGGTATCGGCCGATATCCAAATTTAAGTATATCGGTATCGGACATAAAAAAAGTGGTATCGTGCCATCTCTAGTCAGTACAACAAAACACAGCAGGGGGAGGAGCTAGACACAAAGAAGGGCACTAACTAGGGGAGCAAAGAGGGTGGAGCCATAACCAAACAGGAGTCATGTGAATGTAAAAGCAGCTGTTGTTGACATGCTAGCAGCTGCACTGACTGCAACTGGAAACCAGTGACAGGGAGCTAGAAGGTACAGGAGGAGGAACAGTAGTCCCAGTGGCAACGAGAGGAGGAGGGTGTAATTACCGTGGCGAGGAACCCACGGTAATTACACCAAACATCTGATTGTTGGGTTTTGATTGTAGGGTCAACCTTACAATCCGAAGCACCCTGAGGGGACTGTTGTTGTCATTTGGTGCTGTATAAATAAAACTGAATTGAATTGAAGACACCGTGAGCTAACAGTTAAAGTAGCACGAACCCCCCGCGCTCCCACCCAAAATGGCCCCCTCTCTAACGCGGTACGTTAGCAGTGCGTTACTTTGTTTCTTCTTCGGATACATTTTCCTCTAAAGAAAGGGGGAGAAAAAACTTCCCGTTTGGCGGCGGATATCAGCGCCGAACCTCGTAACGTTTCTGGTCTTCTGCCGCCTTCTTGATCCACAGAATCTTCTCCTTCTTCTCCATCGAGTTCCACGCCATGTCCATCGCTGCCTGGGCCTTCCTGCGGTCACTCTGTGGGTTGTGTCACATGACACTCAGTGACGGTACGGAGAGTTTTTACCTGCCATTTACTGCACGCGCTCCTTACTCTGTATTTAGCCAGGTAGTCGCCAATCACGCTATGCTGCCACATCTCCGCCGCCGTCTTTGGCGTCTCTGGAAGCTTTGCTGCTGCCGTCTTTTTTCCGTCCCGTCTTTCTTTTGGCGGTCCAGCAGGGACCCACGGCTCAGACTCCGCCTCCCGACACCGCTCCTATTTAAAGAACACAAAAATGTGTTCAGACAGTTTCTGGTGATGTTGCAGATGGCGCCGGCTCGGCAGGTTGGTTACATCACCGTTCAGACTGAGTGCCCAATAAACAGGCAGTAAAAGAAGAGCCAGGCGCACCTTGACTGATGGAGACTTGGCTCTGTGGGGGCTTGAGGCCACGCCTGCACCCAATTTGGCCCCACCCATTTTCTCCTCAGTCATGACTCTGTCACGTTCCTCCTCTGGAAGACTCTGAGAAAGAAGCAGAGGTTACTTCCTGTTTCCTGTAGTTTAAGCAGCAGCTCTGGAGCCTCAGTGGACAGGATCAAACATGACAGCCAATCACAACGTGCCTTATCTATTATTGTACGATCTACTGTACAAATTAAAGCGCCTCGCGGCGACTGCTGTATAAATAAAAGTGAATTGAATTGAGGACCATCTGTTGTATGAAACAAGTAGTTTTAAAAGCTAGCTAGTTAGCCAATCGGCCTGCACTGTCACAGTTAGACCCCGCCCCATCCCGTTAATTCCAACCATGAAGGTGAAAGTGTAAATACAGCCCCGCCCATCGCTGTCCTGTCTGTGGGCGTTTCCGCTCGCTCTTCAAGGCGCTCTGAGGTCTTACCTCCAGGAAGCGCTGCAGGTCGATGTCATACTGCTTCTTTTTCTGTGGAGACAAAGTTGAGATTAGAGAGAGGTCAGAGGTCGGAGGTCAGAGCGGTGCCGTCGCTCACCTGCTCGCAGCGTTTCTGGAACATGTCCTTCTCCTTCTGCGTCATCATCTTCCACTGTTTGCTGCACAGCACCATGCGCTCCGTGCTCGGCACGTCCTTCATGTTCACCATCAGCTCAGCGCAGTACAGCGAGTACCCGTTACTGCGAAACACAGGTACAACACGCAGTACAGTGAGTCTGGGATTGGTGGTTGCCAGGACGACGGAGTCAGGCTCCACCCCTTAGGTCCAGTCAAAGGAATTGTTCACGCTTCAGCACACGGACACACTTTTATGTTTCATGCACGGAGTCCTGACCTCCAGCACAGGACATCTGACCTCACGATGCTCTTCTGGAAGAACGGTCACAAATTCCCACAAACACTCCTAAACCTGTGGAAATCCTTCCAGAGGAGCTGCAGCTGTTACAGCTGCAGTGGGCCGGCATCATGTTACACTCACGCTCTGCCGTCAGGAGGTCAGGTGACGTTACCTGATGTCACCTGACCGCCTGACTTCTAAAACCGGTTTATCGGTGATACTGTAAATTGTGCTGAGTGAGACAATAAGACACAGAAGGCGTCACACTTTTGATGCGAGCCACAGAAAGTGAGCCGAGACTGATGCGCACTGTGACTAGATAACAGCTGAACCAATCAGAGAAGAGAGAGGACAGGACGCACCTGTGAGGACGCTGTGATGAACATTTCACTTATTCAAACAAACGCTCTTCCTTTGCTGCAGCTGTTCACTGTAACGGCAAACAGGAGCTTTCTTCTTCTACTACTGAGAGGGAAGCTGGAGGGAGCCGGAGTAGGCAAACAGCTGCCTGCATGGACCATCGACTACCTTACCAACAGACCACAGTATGTGAGGCTCCATGACTGTGTGTCCGAGGTGGTAATCTGCAGCACGGGGCGCCGCAGGGCGCCACAGGGCACGGTTCTCTCACCTTTCCTGTTCAGCCTTCACACTTCAGACTTCTGTTATAATTCGGACGATTGCCATCTACAGAAGTTCTCAGATGATACAGCCATCATTGGATGCGTATCAGACGGGAATGATCCGGAATACAGGGGGGTCATCAGTGACTTTGTTGGCTGGTGTGAGACCAACGTACTCCAAATCAACGCCGGCAAGACAAAGGAGATGATGATAGACTTCAGGAGGAAGTCACCCCCTACAACACCGGTGAACATCCAAGGGAAAGACACTGAGATAGTGGACTCTTATAAGTACCTGGGTGTTCACCTCAACAAGAAACTGGACTGGACTACAAATACAGACGTCCTGTATAAGAAGGGCCAGAGTCGACTCCACCTGCTGAGCAGACTGAGGTCCTTCGGAGTCTGCAGGACTCTGTTAAGGACCTTCTATGACACTGTGGTAGCATCTGCCCTTTTCTATGCAGTGGCCTGCTGGGGGAGTGGATGCACGGACAGGGACAGGAGCAGGATTGACAAACTGGTGCGGAGGTCTGGCTCCGTGCTGGGATGTCCCCTGGAGTCTGTGGATGTGGTTGGTGAGGGGAGGATGTTAGTAAAGCTGACATCCATCATGAACAACGCACATCACCCACTGCATGAGTCTGTGAGTGGGCTGAGCAGCTCCTTTAGTCAGAGACTGAAACACCCTCGCTGCAGGAAGGAGCGCTTTGGCAGATCATTCATCCCAACAGCAGTTAGACTCTATAACTCCTCAATCACGATGTCATGACTCACTGGACACTGAACATCCACGGTCACCACTTCATGCATAGTGGACCTTCCATGACCTTCCAAGCTATATAGTTTGTCTTCCATATTTCCAACCATATCCATAATCACATACTGTGTATGCTACCATTGTATGTAGTGTATTAGCTTACTTTTTTCATTGATTGTACTTATTTGTATTGTTGTATTTCCTTCATGTATCTGTACCTGAGCTGAGGTGACGCAAAAATTTCCCCGTCGTGGGATCAATAAAGTCTTATCTTATCTTACAGTAATGAAACCTTTGATCTCAGCCTGAATCATCTGAATAAAATAATGTCGTCTTATTTTGTCAAAGCTTTAAAAATGAGAAAGTTGGACATGTGAACTTCTGAGGGACGCGACCTCTCGGCCGTAGCTGCGGCAGGGTTAGCGTGAACATGTCAGCGCAGACTCACGGGGGAGGTTTGGTCGGCCGCCCGTCGAACTTGTCTTTCAGCTGTCTCTCGGCTTTGGTGAGGACGGAGCGCACGTGATCGTCCGAGTTCACGTCTGGATGAGCTTCCAGGTACACCCTCATGCTGTCCTAAAACAGGAAGTGCAGTCGTGAGACCCGGCGGTGAGACTTTCGGTTTCAGCCCAGATCATCATCACATCGCCCACACGTCCCAGAAGCTGTTACAAACACCGGAGCTGGTGTCGGCTCGCTTCCAGGACTCGTGTCGTGATGATGGTTCAGGTGAAACGCTGAGGCCGGAGCGCCTGCTTCCCGTCTCTCTGGTACCTCGTAATCTTTCTGGAGCTCCAGCGCCTTGCTGATCCACTTCAGTCTCCTCTTGTCGGACAGCTGGGACCACTGTCTCCTCAGAGCATCCTTCAGCTCCTTTTGACTCACCTGAAACAGAAACGCAGTCGTGAGGATGCGGAGACAGGTCCTGACAACGCTCTGGGCCTCGAACCGGCAGCAGGTCTACGAGCTACCGCCGTGAAACTCTCCGCAGACGCCGTGACAACACGTGCAGAGAAATCAGAGCACCGAGGAGCCGAAATGAAGTTTTGTATGATCACGAGCAGGACGCCTCCTGCGGGGACAAAGGAGCTGCCTACACGGCAGGCGTGATTCTGGCCCGTCTATGAACTCTGACCTTTTCTTCTTTCCATAGTTTCAGGTGGATTCGGCTCAGCTGATTGGCTGGGCCACCTCTAGAAGACTCTCGGAGAACTCGTCTGTCTGAACCCTTGAGAGGAGCACGTGATGGTTTCAGCCGTCATGAGACGTTTCCATGGTGGTGACTCACCTTCCTGTTGGGACCGAACCAGCCGATGCGCGCGGAGCGGCAGGACGCCGCACGTCTCTGCACCTGCCTGGCTTCATGCGCCCTTTTCTCATCATCACACAAAACTTCATTCGTGGACGTGCGGGTTGGACGTGTTACCTAAGGTTGACTATATCGACCATCGCCGATGGGCCGAGCCTTTCGCCGGTTGTTTTTACAACAGCGATGTGTTTATGTGCACCGGTCTGTGAAGCTAAGAGAAGCAGTCAACGCAAACAATCATAGCGCCGTTTGAACGGCGGCGACTCGTTTACTCCGAGCTCAGAAAAGACTAACGTGATTTCAAACCGCCTCGCTGGTTTCAGTGGCTGCTTTGTCCACTCGGTGTTTATCTTTGCACACTCGACCCAAGGATGATCAAACAGTATCTATATTCACACTGGAACTAAAGAAGGTCAAACATAACGCGTGAATGCTAAACACATGCACAATTCTGTCGCTCCGCCCATCTAAAAGTCTGTGCGTTTGGTCTGTTTCACATACGGCCCAACGACATCTCCTTTAGGAACACGTTTGCTTGTTTTACCTGCTGCACGGTGGTTTGCGCGGAGCGGTCGAGCCCTCCGATTGGACCGGTACAGAGCTGCTGCGGCTGCACCGGCGGCACAAAGACATGCATGTGTGTGCTGAGCGCGTACCTCAGGGTGCAGCTTCATGTAGGTCTTCTTCTCGTGGTTGTACCACAGCTGTTGGGGGGTTTTGGGTTTCTCTGGCAGGTCCGACTTCTTCCTCTCCTCGATCAGCTCGGGGTGCTCCTCCCTGCGATCAGCTGACATTAGCCATGTGTGCGCCAACACCGTGACCAACACTGCTACATGTAACAGGAAGTAGAACTCACTTGAATCGAGCCATGTTCTTCTCGAAGTCTTCTTTCTCACGCTGGAACTCTGTGATGTACTTTTGCTGCGGGAGGACAAACAAACATGTGTTTGGTTTTTCGGGACTCGAACACGGACACAACTGCGACCTCGGGTTGTGCTGCTGAGCGCACCTTCTTCTTGTCGGGCAGCTCCTTGTACTTCTTGGACAGGATCTTGGTGAGGTCCAGGTTGCTCATCTCTGGATGGATTTTGGCGTATTTGGCTCGTTTCTCCATAAAGAAGCGAAAGTATGGCGTCAGAGGCTTCTTTGGGAAATCTGGGTGAGTCTGCACACGAGAGAGGTCAAAGGTCACAGGTGAACCAGCACATGTCCCAGCAGGTTCTGGCTCCAGAAGGCCTCACCTTCAGTTTCTTGCCTTTATACGGGTTCTTCACGAACTCGATGGCGTCCACGATGAGCTCCGTCATTGTTCGGTACTTCCTGACCTGAAACACAGACTCAGGTCAGTTGAACCGTCAAAACCGAAAAGCTTTAAATCAACACAGCGATGGCTCAGAGGCGTGGTCTTTGGCCAGCGTACCTCAGACGAGACTTTCTGCCACTTCTGGCGACACATCTCGCCGGTGAAGCCGCCAAAACAAACTTTCTCCCAATCAAAGTGCGACTCGGTGGTTTTGTACTTCATGCCGTCTCCGTCAGGCAACACGGTGCGAATCCTCTCCAGCAGAGTCAGACAGTCCTCCTTACTCCAGTCATCTGAGCAGGGAGACAGCGGTCAGGGCGGGGCCGGCGAGGGTGCGTGCCCCGCGGCCGAACGTCACAGAAAAACACGTTCGTACGTTTTCACAAAAATCGCCAAAATGGTCGTCTGTGAAGACGAAGGTGCGCACGGGTGTAACGCTGCAAACACGCAGCTTCAGGCAAACCGACAGTCTGCCCCCCGTCACATCTGAACGCTCACTGGAAGCACTTACACGCTCATTCCAAGTGTCATCAACTTCCTGTGTGGACGCTGCTTTAGCAGAGTTCCCGCGGGCCTACATGAACTGACAGGCGAGTACCTGAACACCTGACAGCGCTAACAGCAGGTCGGCTTACCTGGTTCAGTCTTGACCCTGGCGCTCTGAGCCGTGGAGACGCTGCTGCTGCCGTTCATCCTGCAGTGACCGACGGAGGAGGCTCCGCCCCTCCCTCTGAAACACAAAATCAAACAGGTTTACTGCGGCAGGACGTGCTCACGTGACCATCAGTACGGCTCAGCTCGTGTACTTCCTGTTTCTGCCTGTGTGGGGCAGCGCCGAGGCCAACAACACCTGATCCAATGCCCTGTTCTGGCTCCACAGGGGACGCTCTCGAGCTCATCCTTTAGCCTAGCGAAACCAGCCCGACTGCAAGAGGCGTCGTCTGAAACGGGCGCCGTGACAGAGGACGCCCTGTCCTAAATCCTAAATCACTAAAGGACCAATGCGGGTGTTTTAAATCAGTGTCAGGTGAGAAAGGCTGCAGGACCAAAGGGGGCTGGATTTAATGTGACCGTGTTTTTACGGCGCCCCCTGCTGACCTGCGCAGCGTTTTGACACGTTTGGCTCTCTGTAGCTCAGAGGAGGCGGGCTTTTGGGGGGGAGTCACTCGCCTGTGACACGGCTAGAAGTAAGTGGAGCGTGAGTCACTGAGCAGAATATGTCGCCTGATCACCTGACACGTCACCTGATCCCTGCTGCGCCGCTGTAGGCTAACACGTTGAAGGTCAGTGACATCACCTGTTACTGTATAGAATGTACCAGGTGTATTTATAGAGGATGACAGCTGGCCGCCACCACACTTTCACACCTTCATCTTCTCACTGCCCAATCAGCTTGCAGCTCACACCATGGCGGCCCAACAGTATGCGAACTTCCTGAAGCCTTCTTTTCATTTACAGAAATCAATCTGAGCGTGCTCAGAAACGAGATTCTGCACACGCAGCGAGGACACTGTGTTTAAGAGTCCTCCAGGTGTGGCATGCAGAAAGGCTCCAGAGCGCCACCCTCAGTGATAAAAACGTCAATGCACACTTTAAGGTCTGTGTATGAAGCCACGCCCCCACACCTGGGCACCATCACCTGTAGTCTGATTCTTCCAAAGATGCAGCTGCTCTTCGGAGTTCACACATCTGTGGCGCCATGGCGGATTCTGATCCTTCGCCACTGGACAAAAAATGATGACTGAGGGGTCTGCAGCTGCCTGCACAGGTGTGATCAGAGTGCACACCCACTCACAGTCACAGCGCCAGCTACAGGGCACAGAATAGCCAATCAGAATGTTTCACCTGCAGCAGCTTCACTGTGAGGGTGCCCACCTGTGTGCACCACAGGCATCGTTTGAATGACCTCAGACTGACGTGCACCTCAACTGTCCTCACCTGGCTGAGCATTAAACTCACGTGACATCACCACACCAGTGTAAGCACAGAGGTAACCGGAAACAGTGTGTGTTTGGTGACATTGCTGATGATCGATTCTCAGACAGGAGCTGATCTCTCTCACACACCGGTGCCATTCTGCAGACGGTCCCCGGGTTCTGGGTCCGGACGGCCGGGGAGCTGGGCTCGGCCCGGTAAGCTCTCCGGACCGCCAGCGTCTAGCTGCCCGGTAATGGCGTCCATCCTCCGGCAGGAGTCAGCACGTAGCTTCCGCTAGCACGAACCGCCGAACCGAGCGCGAAGGTTTCCCGGTGAAACCTGTCTGAGCGACGCGGAGACCAAACCGGAACAAACCGGATGAAACCGGATAAAAGACCCGAGCTAAAGTCTCCGGACGGCACACGTGGAGCGTTTAACGGCTTTAATCCGATAAAATGATGGCACGTAAAAAGGTCGAGCTCGAGTCTACCCGCGGTGCAGGAGCACCAGAACCCCCGAACCCTTTACCCGCAGAACCGGAGCTTTGTGCGGGCGGGACTGGCTGCAGCTGCCCCACAAGCCTCCGCTGCAAAGCCGCCATGAATGTTGTGGCGACTCGGGGACGAGCGAGCAGAAAAACCCAGAAATGCGTTTAAAATCGGAACCTGGCGCTTACCTGCTGGTTCGGACAGAAAGCCGGGGTGATTCTGCACGGCACCGTGCCGGTTCGGCTGCTTTCGAGACCGTGGAAGTGTGTTTTTTTCAGCCGTAAACCCCGGGGAGTCAGGTCGAAACGAATCCGACAAAAGGAGCGTCTAGTCCGGTATGAAACTCCGCCCAGCGCCGCAGGGGGAGGAACTCCGGGGGAAAACATGAGGACAAAGGCGGAGGATGAAACCAGAGACAGCGGCCACAGCGGCAGCCAGCCCCGCGGAGCCGCAGCACACACACTCTTTAACGGACGCTATTTTACATTTACGCCGTTTTCACTCAAACCCAACTGCGACTGCGTGGTCCGAGCCCTCTCCGCCACCCTCTCCGGGTCCAGATGCTGAACCGGTAGGAGGCCCGGGGACCGCCAGCTGGCCCCGGCAGAGATGCGGCCGGGGGCCCGCGGAGCACAGCGGATGCTCCGAGAGGAAACCGTCGGTGCTGCCGGCAGCTCGTGGCTCCCTCCACCGCCCGGCGCGGTGTTGATCGCGGGTTGAGAGGCGGCAGAGGAGCCCGCTAAGAGCAGCCGAGTCCCCGTGATCAGTGAGGTCATCATCTGAATTTGCACCTGCCGCAGGTGGGGTGAGGTGGTTCTGCTGTTTGTCCTAATAAACTTTTTTTATTTAGAATAAAAACAGCCTTTATTTTGAGTTCTTGTGACTTTAATTCTGGAGTAAACTCGGAGGACCCTGCCACCTGAGGTGAGGACAGGTGCACTGGGCCTCACCTGTGGGACTCTCAGAGGTCTGAGCTGGGGTCCGGGTTCTGGTGGACTGTGGAGCCCTCACAAACACAGCCAGTGGCCCCTGAGCGCCACTGCTGGCCCGGATGTTCAGCACGTTAAAGCGACAGTGTTGGGGTAATGACGTCATCCTGACTAAGCGCGTGCAGCAGCCTCTCTAACTTTGAGGGGTCAGGCTGTGCACGTGGACACCCCAGGATGAGCCACCAATCAGCTGATCAGGTGTCTGCAGCTGTCAGAGCCTCAACATCCTCAAGAGGAAACACTGCAGACTGATCGATCGGCTCACTGACCGATCAACTGGTTGATTGAGCGGACCCAGAAAGTTGAAACTCACATATTTCACAGGACTTTGTGCAGAATTTACACTCACAGCCACTTTATTAGGTACACCTCCTCCTCACAGCTGCTTCGTCTGCTCCCTGGGGTCCGGACACACCGGTCTCCTAAATCGTCATTCTGATGCTTCATTTGAACCTCAGCGGCTCCTCTTCATCACCCTTCATCATCCTGCTACCCTGTGATTGGCTGGTGAGATATCTGAGTTGAACAGATGCACCTAATAAAGTGACTGTAAATAAAATTAGTGTATTGTATTCATGCATCTTAATATACATTTGTATTTAGTGTGTTTGAACATGTTTCTGTGGGTGAAGTGAACCTCATGCTGTAAAATCTGCTGGTCTTCTCTCTCACACAGACACACACGCACAGGCACTCCTAAAGCTTAATCACCAACAGCTTCATGCTCTTATTTTGAAATGTCGCAGCAGGTCATGGTCAGGGTTCCTTCTTAGTACCTGAGCCTGTCACACAGCAGCGACACACAGGGGATGCTGATTGGATAATCTGGCTGCAAGCTCGGTTGAGCACCAGTCAGACTTCCTGTGTGTCAGCTGTCGTTCGGAAGCTGTAAACCTGCAGTAATGATTTATTTTGGTCCCTTTTTTTCTGCTGTCAGATCTGCTGTTTTCAGAGGAGGTGGAACTTTAGTGTGATATGTCACTTTTTGTTTTGTTTCATTTATTAAAAACTTTATTTGGATCTGATCTCGAACATGTTTCTTCTTTGCTTTTTGTTCTGTACCGTTTGAAACTGTTACACTCTGCTTGTTTTTTTCTTCTGGTTACGTCATAAGGAGACGCTACGCTAATCGCGACCAACAGAAATATGCATGCGCAGCCTCCACTGGAGGGTGTTGGTTTTACAAAACCAAAGGAAAACAGGAGAGAGGAGACGGTTATATCCTGACTCAGATTTGGGCATGCTGGTTTGAACAGCACGTTGTTTTTAATGAGAAAACACTGCACAGGGGAGCGTGACTGCACCAGAGAAGAAGAAACAATAGAACATGTTTTAGTGCATTGTCAGAAATATGCTCGGTGAGATGAAATTGAAACTGGACTTGGTTGATATAAGAACTGGAGAAGTTATCAGGTCATATTTTGTTTTTTAAGGCAGACTCGTTTGTTTGGGAGGATTTGATTCATTTTTGACATTCAGTTCACACTCCACACCAGTTGGTGGCGGTAATGCACCATTTTGCTGTTTGCCAACTGCCAATAAACAATATAAAGAAGAAGAAGCATCCGCTGGGTCCGCCGCGGAGCACAGCAGTAGAAGAAGAAGCGGCAGCAGGAAGTGATGCGGCTGTTAGCCTGCAGGCTAACGGGGAGGACATGAAGCTCCTGGACTGAACGTGAGTGACCGTCGACTCCTCGCGTCTCTGCGGAGACTCAGACTATGGGTCAGTGGCTCCCTGGGAGCGCGAGCTGTTAGCGCGTATCTTAGCGTAGCGGTTAGCTGTTAGCTCGGACTTTAGCGGAGCTGATTCAGGTGAGCCCGGGTGGCTCAAATGCCCGGATCTTCCGGTGAAACGCAACCAACAACTAGTGCCGTGACAAGGCCGCGGAGACAGGTGAGCAAATACCTGAGCAGAGAGCGTCAAAAATACACTTGATTAACAACCGGATCAATCATGGATCGATACCTGCTCACGGCACACAGGAAACCGGAAGTTAGCGTTGTGTAATGGCTTTTCATCCCACTGGTTGGACAGCCATGCAGGAAGTGACGTGAAAACCGTCAGGGGCGCTTTTCCTCTGAGTGTGTTTCCCCAAGATAAAGTCCCAGAGGTCACCCTGTGGTATGTGTACTGGGGGGACAGGATGCTTGCTCTGATTGGACTAAACTGGGCGCAGGTGTAATGTAGAGGCGGAACTTTGACGTTTACTGGGATTTTATCACGTTACAGGTGATCAGCTACAGGTGATCAGCTACAGGTGTCCTGCAGATGTTCAGACGTTGGTTTCACTCGTGTGTCTGAGCCGTCAGCTCGCTTTGAGTTAGGAAGTAACTCTGTCGACCTGAGAGAGGAGCTCACCTGCTCGTAGTACTCTCACAGTATTGTATGTATCACCACACAGTACTGCGATACTGTCGTGTGACATTGGAGCTGTGGGACACCTGCCCCTAAAGGTTTTTTTTTCTTTCTTTCCCTAGTTCTTAAAAAGCTTCAGTCATGCTGGAGTGAAAGGACAAGTGAGGGGTTCTCAGGTAAACAAGAAGTGTGTGTATATACCTGAAGCTAAGCTCCGCCCTCTCCCTACAGGTGTGTGAGCTGTGCTGACCTTGGCGGCGATGGCGCTGATCGAAGGTGTCGGTGATGAGGTGACGCTGCTGTTCGCCGCTCTGCTGCTGCTAACGGTGCTGCTGCTCGCCTGGATCTCCACCCGCACATCCGAGCCCCCTGAACACCTGTTCACAGGCTCCTCCCCTTTACAGAGGCCTGGGCAAACCCAGCAGGACACGCCCTTTTCATCCACCGCCGCCTCCTCATCCCCCTACCCACCATCCTCAACCTCCACGTTCTCCATGTCCTCGTCCTCACCTTCCTCCTCTGTGAACGACAGCTTCCTGACAGAGGCTCCCCCCACACTAGAGGATGGACAGGTGGGAGGGGACGGGGTGAGGCGCAGAGGAGGAGACGGGGAGGGCGCAGCGTCTCAGCGGAATATGGTGGTCAGACTCAAGTTCCTCAACGACACGGAGAGGATGGCGCAGGTCCAACCGCAGGACACCGTCGGGTACATCAAGAGGTACGAGTACTGCATGTAATACTGCATACACTACTGCATAGTAGAGGAGGAACTTCAGGTTTACCGAAACTCCTCCTCCTGGCTGTGCTTTTGGACTCGTTTGCTGACCTCTGACCTCTGACCCTGCAGGACCTACTTTGCGGGGCAGGAGCATCAGGTGCGTCTCATCTATCAGGGCCAGCTGCTGCAAGACGACGCGCAGACGCTCGCCTCGCTGAACCTCGCTCATAACTGCGTGCTGCATTGCCACATCTCGCAGCATGCAGCGCGGGGGGCGGCGGGGGGCCAGCGGGCGGGAGACCAGGTGCGCGTGGCGCTGAACGTGGGCAGCCTGATGGTCCCACTGCTCGTGCTCATGCTGTCCGTGCTGTGGTACTGTCAGATCCAGTACCGCCAGTTCTTCACCGCCCCCGCCACCGCCTCGCTGGTCGGGGTCACCATCCTCCTCAGCCTGGTGGCCTTTGGCGTCTACCGCCGCTAGCCTCCCATGGGCCGGCGGCGGGTATGAGACGCTACCTGCAGTTAGTGTTTGTTTTTGTTGCCATGGAGACGTCATGAGGACAGAGACTCTTATCATTAGATCACACGTTTATCTTCATCATCAGCGTGCCTCTTTGATTTCTGTGGGAGGCACAGACACACCTGTCTGCCTCACCTGTGTGTGTGTGTGTGTGAGTGAGTGAGTGAGTGAGTGAGAGAGAGAGAGAGAGAAAGTTTCAGCTTTTGGAGAAAATCTATTAAACCTTTAATTTATCCCGTGGTGTCTGAGTGTGTGTGTCACACCTATACAGGTGATTCTGAGGGTGGAGCTGCTGCAGTCACATGGCTGGTTGGCATCACCTGATTGGCTGGGCGGTCAGCGTTGGGGATTACAGATTTTTCCCTAGCGACAGGTGGTTGCTAAGCAGTCTAACCATCCAGGATCAGCTGATAATGGAGTCCATTTCCAGGGTGAAGATTATTATATGGGCTCTTATGTTTGACCTTTGACCCTCTGTGTAGCAGGAAGTGTGTAATGTTACAAAATAAAGTTGGATACAAAATGCTCAGAATGAAAGAAGTCATGTGACGACCTCAGACCTTTTCTATAATGTGATTGGTCGGAGCTGCTGCTTTGACATGTTCACAGGTCACGGCTCTGTAAATCCAGATCCTGACGACTTGAACCAAAGTCACGAGGAGACGACGGCGAAACCTCAAAACTGTCAAAGTCGCCGACGTCACGTCAGCGGCACGAACTCCTCAAATACAACATGTCGAAGAAGACAGAGAGGTGTGCAGTGTGGCCCAAAGTTAGGAGCTGGAAGACTGACCATCAGGTTATCAGGTCATTATCAAACCTACAAGCAAATATTAGAAATTCAGCTCCAGTTTGAATTTACTGTCAAAAACTTCAATCAGAGATCAGTAAGTGAAGAAATAACAGAAGTGAAGACGCACGCATAAACGATTGTTATAATAAACCCGAGCCCACTTACAATGACAGACAGTATGAAACTAGATGAGTTACAGATCTCGGGTCTGGAGTTAAGAGGAGGAGAACAATGTGGTCCTGTGCACAGGTTCAAACAGCTGATGGTTGGTGGTGTAGCAACGCCACCTGCGCAGCTCGAGATTCTCGACTGATTCCTTCGAGTTCCTACAGTAGACTTCGGAGACACGTGTGAAGATCAAATAACCACCACAGAAGCTGATGCAGCGATTGGACGTCCTTCTAACAGAGCCCAGGCTGGACGGCCTCACAGGAGATTTCTACCAACGTTTTTGGGAACACATCGACGGCCTTTTACATCGAGTATTGGTAGGAATGTTTCAGACTTCCACTCTGCTGCCCACAATGAGACCCGGACTTATCGCCTCAATTCCAAAGCCCAACGAGGAGACTAAGAAACTCCGAATGTCTTCACTGCTCGTCTTTAGATAGCTCTGTCATGTCTCGTTTCAGAAACGCAGTCAGGTCTCTTCACAGGAGGATCGGTTCACAGTGACAGAGCAGTGCTGGATACAGGAAGCTGATAAAGACGATGGATTGTTACAAAGCCTTCGACTCAGCCTTGATAAAGTCCTTGAACACTTTTGGAGTTAAATTCAGAAACGTGATTTGTGTTTGTACCACATTATTAGCAGTTGTGGCGTTGTACCCGATGGTACCAACCCTAGCTTTAAAGCTAATGTTGGAATCTCTCCATATGGATTCATATTGGTCACCAAGATGTTGGCGATTCATCTTCAAAAGTTCAATAACATAAAAACATTTAATGTTTTAGCCACAGATATTATGATAAGTCAACGGATGACACAGCAATATTTTAAAAGATAAACTCCAAGATCCACTAACTATTGAAAAATTGCTGTCCCAGGCATCTGCACTACTACTATTGTCATTAGTATTATTAACATTACTATTATCATCATCTGGTTTAACATTAAACGTTAGAGAATGTGAAGTCCTTGCTGTACCTGATGCGCCAGAAACAGATGTTTGTAACATTCCTGTTAACTCCAAAATGAGATATTTGGGAATCTCACAATGGACCAAAAACAAAATCAGTCGTTGACGTGGAGAACAAACTGAACTCATGGCTTCAAAGAGATCGATCCATGGTGGGCAGAATTTATCCAACAAATATGGAAAGTTTATCCAGATGTATCTTCCTGACATGCTGCCATTCCAGACAAACGCTTCAGCCTCATTGCATGAAAAACGCCTGCTTGATCAAAGATGGTAAAGATGGAGGTTTGAAAGCCACAGACGTCCACAGCCTGAACGGGACCTCAAAAATAAACATCAAAGATGATGATCCTGGTACTCTGGTCCAAACGAGTTATTCAGTGGCCTGAACTTTCTCCTTATCACACTCTCCTATCTGTGAAACAGCTGCGGCTGTGACCCCGACACTGATGCCACAGCTTCAGAGGTCAGAGTTCAAATCTATGCTTGCGCTCTCACCTGTGTGTGCAGTGCACAGGTGAGATCGTACCTGACCAGCGCCTGTTCAGCCCGAGCTTCAACATTTACCTTCGTCACCGACCCGCACACAGATGATCACGGGGCTTTTATTTTGATAATTTGTTTGATATTTTGACATCAAACACCTGCACAGGTAAGCAGGCAGGAGTTCTGGAAGGCCAAGTGTGGGCATCAACACTGAAACACACAAACACGCCATGGATACAGCTGATCACATGACCTCTACAGTTTACAGGATAACTAATCAGATATCAATAACAGTGATGTCACCCGATCAATACGAGCTGATGGAGGCTCTTTCTTCTTTTCCTGAATGACTTTCTGTAGATTGTTTACGTGATGGATACAAACAAGCTCACCTCCAGCTGTGCAGCCAGATGTTGGGCTGTAGCAGGACTGTCTCTGTGTGGGGGAGGGGCGAGGAAGACGAGGAACCTTCGCTCAGCTGCCTGCTGCAGACTGCCACCAAACACACAGACCAGGCTTTTACTTTGAAAGGTTTGGCAGGCCGACTAGTCTGTTAGTGGGCGTGTTCTGCTTCAGTCACACCTGCCACAGGTGTTTGTCAGTGACATCACTGGACGCCGAGTGTGACGTGGCCTTCATAATGAATCGGGTTCACTTCCTGTGAGCGGATGAAGGACAGCAGAGAGTCTCCAGGTGACTCACCTGTATGCTGAGTCTGTCCAGTGCCTCGACCTGAAACAGACACGCACGGCTGTACAGCTGGCCAATGAACAGGTCTGGACAGGTGAGCCTTTGCCTCTCTCTGGAAGTCCTTCAGGGTGGGCGGAGTCACAGCTGTTAGCCATATGTAAGGAACTCCTGAAACACCAACTTTCTGTCGCTCCACCATAGCTGAGAATATGTGTTGAGCCCCACCCTCAGAAGCTCCGCCTCTTCTTTCACCTGTGTCACACGATCAACTCCTGTTCCAGCACAGAGACACACTCTGGATTTTGCCGCAGAGACACCTGCAGAGGCACGTACAGGTGAGCCGGACAGAAAGGGAGAGATGAGTGAGAGAACAGGTGTGCATGTAAGAGCGATATCAGGTCACCTGGTAGTTGCCATTGCAACTCACAGAGATCCTGAGCGGCAGACTTGCTGCGGCGTAAACATCGCTGATGATGGTGCTCATGAGGTGTGACAGGCCGCCGCCCCCTGACCCTTCAAATACACTTCCTGTTTCCTGTAGCTGCAGACTGACTTCAAACAATGTAGCCCCAGTGCCACCAGGTGAGTCTACCTGTGGGTTTGTGCTGTCAGACAGGAAGCGCAGCGCTCAGTGCAGCAGCTGGAACAGCCCGTCCTGCACGCAGCCGTTGACATAGTCCAAGCACTTGGTCTGCTCTGTACAGACTCCTGTTCACCTGGGGACAGGTAACAAAGGTGCTTCAGAAGCTGGACCTAAAGCACCTCCTACAGGTGCTGTGTTACCTGAGTTAACCTGAGCAGCTCTTATCCCTCCTCTTCGATGCGTCTGCAGGTCTCCTTTGAAGCTCTGCCCTCCAACAGTGAGTCACGTGAGCGCTACAGCAAGTGAAGCTCCGCCCACCCCTGTAAAGACACACACACCTGAGTACAGGTGAAATGATGGCAGAGTCTAGGCTGAGGGTTGAAGCTTACTTGTGTGAGGTGTGCAATGGCTCCCATGTTGTCTCTGGCCTCCATCACACTAGAGTGGAGGTCCAACACCAGCTCTACCTGCAGCTGCACACCTGGACACACACACACACACACACACACGCACACGCACACACACACACACACACAGGTGTAATAATGGACCCGCTCCACCATGTGTAATAATGGACCCGCTCCACCATGTGTAATAATGGACCCGCTCCACCATGTTTTTGTGCCTATGATATCATGTGATATATGTCACCTGTGATGCTCCAGGTGTTCCTCTCCAGCTCTGACAGGGTCAGGTTCAGGTGGTTCAGCTGGTCCTGGATCAGAGGAAGCTCCGCCTGCAGGATGCCAAGCACCACCTGAAATTGGACCAAGTCACATGTCACTTGAACTTCCCCCCTACACCTGCAGCTTCAGAGCTTTGGAGCTCTGTGAGTTGAGCGGGCGGAGCTTCATGTCTCTGTCTCTGCTCTTTTATCTCAGCTACCTCAGCACCGCCTGCACATGTACACACAGGTGAGCAAGCAAGCAATTTATTTATATAGCGCTTTCAGATCAGCCACCAGCTGAACACAAAGTGCTGTACACTTGACATGCCAAACATGATACATTGAGCATGTTAAAAAAATGAGAAAAATAGTAATAATAATATAAGATAAGTAAAACATATATTCCACAGATTAGGAGTAGAGCAGGGCGATATGGCCAAAAATATTTATCACGATATATATATTTGAAAATTTGCGATAACGATATAACCGACGATATAATTGATGCGAGACAAAATACAACTCCACAACATTACTAGCGCAAAAAGACAACCTTCC